TGGGGGCACGTGGCCCGTGGTGGCCGAGCCATGGCCTCCTCCCTGCGCGCCACGGGGCTGTTGTGCTGACGCCGGTTCCTCGCCAGCCCCCACCCGCTCCCTCAGCCCCTGCAATTACCCCGCTCGGACGCTCGCCAGCCTTCACCTAATGGGCAAATTAGCCCCGCTGCCATCTCATCCCCTGCGTGCCTAAGAGGGCATGCAGCGTGACACAGGCGGGCTGCCAGCACCCTGCGTGCCGCAGCTCTTCCCCAGGGGCTTGGTCTCGGGGTGGCCGCGTGCGCGCTGTGGAGAGCCCCAGGGCAGAGCGGGGTCGTGGCGCTGGGCAAGGAGCAGCCACACGCCAGCGCCTCCATGACGTACGCACTGCAGTTGTTATCTCCAGAGGGGCGAGGTGACGAAACGCCAAATCAAAGGCGCTCCTCTCGGGCACTGCCTGCTCAGCACCACGCATTTGGCCCGCCAAGCGGAAAGGGGAGGGAAGCCAGCAAAGGGGCCTGTGCTGGTCCGGACAGGGGATGCTGACTCAGGGAGGGCAGGAGCAGGACAGCCTGGCCTCGGCAGGAGGGAGTGCCGCCTCTGCCCATTGGCCCAGCAGGCGCTGCGCAATGGCGGGGCCTGGATAAAAGCTCGGCCTGCGCGGGGCTCTCGCAAGCACTGCTCTGACCGCCTTCTCCTTGGGGAACAGGGTAAGTCTGCGAGCGCTTCTCCTCCTGCCGCTGGCCCCTGCCGCTGGCCCCTGCGCCTCAGCCTGGGCAGCTGCCATCTACGGCTCCCTCGCATCGCACTCTGTGCCCTCTTGCAGAGCACCGTCCAATCCCGCAAGATGGCTTGCTACGACCTGTGCCCGCCGAAAACCAGCGTCGCCGTCCCCCAGCCCATCGCTGAGAGCTGCAACGAGCTGTGCGCGCGGCAGTGCCCCGACTCGACGGCCTTCATCCAGCCGCCCCCCGTTGTCGTCACCTTCCCCGGCCCCATCCTCAGCTCCTTCCCCCAGCAAGCCGTGGTGGGCTCCTCCGGAGCACCCGCCTTTGGGGGCTCCCTGGGGCTGGGGGGCCTCTACGGCGCGGGGGCCACCCAGGGCTCGGGGGGCCTCTGCACCTTTGGCAGGCCCTACGCTTCTCCCGCCTGCAGCCCCTACCTCTTGCCGCGCTACAGCAAGAAGCTGTGGGACACCTGTGGGCCCTGCTAAAGCCACGCCCTGCCCCAGACCCCCTGCCAGCTGCCGCAACGCATGGCTGAGCTCGTGGGCACGGGGCGCTGAGGAGCGCTGAGCATCTCCAGCCCCAGCCAAGGCCTGGGCAGCTGGCTGTGCCGGCCCCTTCGGCCTCTCGCACCCTATTCTACTCCTCCTTCCTCCACGGCCAGGGCCTTGCGCCCGGCCTGCCCTCTGCTCTCCCACTCTCTCTTCCCCCCTCCTGCTCTCCGCAGCAAGAGCAGGACCCTTCAAGGCCTGTGGGGCCCATGGGCCAAGCCCTCCCGAGCTGCACTGCCACACCGCCGGGGCTTGCGCAACCAGAAGCCACGCTCTGGAGAAGATCCTCTGTCCCCCCAACATGCCACAGCCAGCCTCGCTGGCTCCTGCTCCAGCTCTCTGTCCACTTCTCCTGCCGTGCCGGGCACAATAAAGGTTTCCTGCATCCACTCCTCTCTCTCTTCCTCTCTCTGTGTTCCGAGTCAGGAAAGCAGCCCTGGGGGGCAGGGGGCGTAGTGGAGGCTGCGGGGGAGGGCACACGCTGGTGCTGGGAGGCCCAGGGCATTAGGGCAGAGAGCAGGAGAGGTGCTGGCAGTTCTGCTTTGCCTGGCCTTCTCCGCCCGGGAGCGCGACCAGCTCTGCCAAGTGGAGCTGCTCCGCAGAAGCGAGGCACCGTCTCGGGCAAGAAGCGCAGAGGAAGAGGCCGGAGAGCAGGGATGGCTGAGCGCTGCGCGCGGTGAGTGCATGGCCGGTCCCTTGCTGGAGGACAGCCTTGCAGAAATGGCCGTGGGGCTGGTGGCCGCCCACTGGAGCAGGAGCCAGCAACGTGCCTTGGGGCCGTGAGCGCTCCCCCCTGCTCCTGATCATTGGCAATAGGGTTAGCAGCAGCCATAAGACGTAAGGGCGCTGAGCATGGGTCGCCCCTCCCCTTCTGTCTCCCCCTTTGTGGCCCCAGGCTGAGGTGACACCTCTTCCCAGGCAAGCCTCCTGCTGGCCCTGGGATTAAGCCCATCAGTGTTAGCACAAAGCCCACGTGCTGGATCCTTGGGTGTGGTGACGCCCGTTAAGGAAGAGGGAAGTGGCACAGCTCAGGGAACACTGGCTATAAAACGAAGCGGCAGCAAGCCCCATGTGGCACTCAGGCTGGAGCTGCTGCTGCTGCTGGCTGGCTGGCTGGCTGGCTTGCTGGCTGGCTGGCAGGAAGAAGCCTCTGCTCCCTCGGTGCTCAGGGCTGCGGGCGGTGTTGTCTTCTTCCTTGGAGTAGAGTGAGTTCTTTCCGGTCAAGACTGGCTCTAGCCTGTGGTGCTGGTGTGGTGGTGATTAGTAAGGATTTGGCAGAGGGTCCGCATGACTGAACCGTCTAGGAAATGCAAGAATCCTAGATAATAAGGAAGCCGAGCTGGTTCCTAGAAGTTTGGTTTGACTGCAAGCCGTGCTAATTGTATAGAAATTGCCTGCTAAAGATAAGCTCTGCTAACTGCTGGGCTGTGAGGGAAAAGCTCAGAGCTGAACGGTGCCCTGGGAGAAGTTCGGCTTGGCTCTTTGGGAGAAGCTCTTTCTTCAGCTACGGGAGTGTGTAAGCCCGGGAGCGGGCTGGGCAGGGAAGTGGTTTGGACAAGGCTTAAGCTTCGTTCAGGTGGCGCTGCGTGGAGGCGGCAGTTAGCGTGCTGCTGCTCCTCGCTCGGGGTTCCCCTCTGTTTCAGGACCTTGTGTGGAGCGTCTGGAGGCGGCCGTGCTGGAGGCGGGGAGCAGGCTGCTTCCAGGCAGGGCCCTGGGAGATGGGCTGCAGCCCTCAGTGTGGGAGGCAGGGCTGCCAGGGGCTTTGTCCAGGGCGCCCCGGCGCTTTGGGGGGCTGGGAGAGCGAAGGGGCCATGTGCAGGCGGAGGGAGCCCTGGAGCCCCCGCGGGGCCTGGGAAGGAAAGGCGGAGAGGCAGGCATTGGATGCAGGCTTGCTTTATTGTCAAGGCAGGAAAGGACACAAGCACAGAGGCGCGAGCAAGGCCCAGGCAGGCCGGTGGTGCCTGGGGCTTCCAGAGAGGCGTTCTTCCTTCAGGCTTCTGCCAGGCGCTGGCCGGCCCAGGGCCAAGAAAGGGCCCTGGGGGGCAGCACCGGAGGAGTCACATGTCTGTGCAGAGGAGGAGGAGGAAGGACGAGGAGGAGAAGAGGTGGCACGGGCGTGGCTTTAGCAGGGCCCACAGGTGTCCCACAGCTTCTTGCTGTAGCGCGGCAAGAGGTAGGGGCTGCAGGCGGGAGAAGCGTAGGGCCTGCCAAAGGTGCAGAGGCCCCCCGAGCCCTGGGTGGCCCCCGCGCCGTAGAGGCCCCCCAGCCCCAGGGAGCCCCCAAAGGCGGGTGCTCCGGAGGAGCCCACCACGGCTTGCTGGGGGAAGGAGCTGAGGATGGGGCCGGGGAAGGTGACGACAACGGGGGGCGGCTGGATGAAGGCCGTCGAGTCGGGGCACTGCCGCGCGCACAGCTCGTTGCAGCTCTCAGCGATGGGCTGGGGGACGGCGACGCTGGTTTTCGGCGGGTACAGGTCGTTGCAAGCCATCTTGGTGTGAGAGAGCTGAGCCTGCAATGCAAAGCCCCCAGGGCCGGTGCTGTGAGTGAGGAGATGCCCTGGCAGAGCAGGGCCCGTGCCCCAGCCAGGGGGCTCCCTCCTCAGCCCGCCCCGGCTCTCCACGCCTGCTCCCTGCGTGCCCGCGGCCCTCGCCTGCCCCCACGGAGCCCCTCTGCCCACAGCGCCTCCGGCAGAGCTCTCGTGGCCAGGGAGCCCCACACCGGCCCCTGCCCGACGAGGCCCCGCCACCCACCCTTTTCCCGAGCAGAGCCAGGCAGGAGCGGCGGATGCCAGCGCTTGCCCAGGACCACGCTTTTATGGGGGCCGGAGAGCGCGGGGAGGAGCTGGCCGCGCTGGGGGCACGTGGCCCGTGGTGGCCGAGCCATGGCCTCCTCCCTGCGCGCCACGGGGCTGTTGTGCTGACGCCGGTTCCTCGCCAGCCCCCACCCGCTCCCTCAGCCCCTGCAATTACCCCTGCTCGGACGCTCGCCAGCCTTCACCTAATGGGCAAATTAGCCCCGCTGCCGTCTCATCCCCTGCGTGCCTAAGAGGGCATGCAGCGTGACACAGGCGGGCTGCCAGCACCCTGCGTGCCGCAGCTCTTCCCCAGGGGCTTGGTCTCGGGGTGGCCGCGTGCGCGCTGTGGAGAGCCCCAGGGCAGAGCGGGGTCGTGGCGCTGGGCAAGGAGCAGCCACACGCCAGCGCCTCCATGACGTACGCACTGCAGTTGTTATCTCCAGAGGGGCGAGGTGACGAAACGCCAAATCAAAGGCGCTCCTCTCGGGCACTGCCTGCTCAGCACCACGCATTTGGCCCGCCAAGCGGAAAGGGGAGGGAAGCCAGCAAAGGGGCCTGTGCTGGTCCGGACAGGGGATGCTGACTCAGGGAGGGCAGGAGCAGGACAGCCTGGCCTCGGCAGGAGGGAGTGCCGCCTCTGCCCATTGGCCCAGCAGGCGCTGCGCAATGGCGGGGCCTGGATAAAAGCTCGGCCTGCGCGGGGCTCTCGCAAGCACTGCTCTGACCGCCTTCTCCTTGGGGAACAGGGTAAGTCTGCGAGCGCTTCTCCTCCTGCCGCTGGCCCCTGCGCCTCAGCCTGGGCAGCTGCCATCTACGGCTCCCTCGCATCGCACTCTGTGCCCTCTTGCAGAGCACCGTCCAATCCCGCAAGATGGCTTGCTACGACCTGTGCCCGCCGAAAACCAGCGTCGCTGTCCCCCAGCCCATCGCTGAGAGCTGCAACGAGCTGTGCGCGCGGCAGTGCCCCGACTCGACGGCCTTCATCCAGCCGCCCCCCGTTGTCGTCACCTTCCCCGGCCCCATCCTCAGCTCCTTCCCCCAGCAAGCCGTGGTGGGCTCCTCCGGAGCACCCGCCTTTGGGGGCTCCCTGGGGCTGGGGGGCCTCTACGGCGCGGGGGCCACCCAGGGCTCGGGGGGCCTCTGCACCTTTGGCAGGCCCTACGCTTCTCCCGCCTGCAGCCCCTACCTCTTGCCGCGCTACAGCAAGAAGCTGTGGGACACCTGTGGGCCCTGCTAAAGCCACGCCCTGCCCCAGACCCCCTGCCAGCTGCCGCAACGCATGGCTGAGCTCGTGGGCACGGGGCGCTGAGGAGTGCTGAGCATCTCCAGCCCCAGCCAAGGCCTGGGCAGCTGGCTGTGCCGGCCCCTTCGGCCTCTCGCACCCTATTCTACTCCTCCTTCCTCCACGGCCAGGGCCTTGCGCCCGGCCTGCCCTCTGCTCTCCCACTCTCTCTTCCCCCCTCCTGCTCTCCGCAGCAAGAGCAGGACCCTTCAAGGCCTGTGGGGCCCATGGGCCAAGCCCTCCCGAGCTGCACTGCCACACCGCCGGGGCTTGCGCAACCAGAAGCCACGCTCTGGAGAAGATCCTCTGTCCCCCCAACATGCCACAGCCAGCCTCGCTGGCTCCTGCTCCAGCTCTCTGTCCACTTCTCCTGCCGTGCCGGGCACAATAAAGGTTTCCTGCATCCACTCCTCTCTCTCTTCCTCTCTCTGTGTTCCGAGTCAGGAAAGCAGCCCTGGGGGGTGTAGCGGAGGCTCTGGGGTGGGCACACACTGATGCTGAGTGACCCATGGTCCTCTTGGCCCTTTAAGTGTGAGGGGAGCAGTCATGGCAGAAGGGGCTTTTTTTTTGTGCAGTGGGTTAGGACAGAGAGCAGGATAGGTGTTGGGTATAAAGCAAAAATTCAGAAAGACTGAAGTCGCACTAATGCTGGATCTCCTGTGTCCTGGCAGGAAGGAACGACGAAGCCTCTGCTCCCTCAGTGGTCAATCTGTCTGCAGCATTGCCTTCCTTTGAGCACTCAATAAGCTCTTTCTTGTTAGTACCTCATGGTGGTCTGTTTCTGTTTCTTCCACAGTACCCACCCTCTCTCAGCTCCTGTAATTACCTTTTTGGGATGCTCATCTGCACCTCTGAATCTCCCATTCTCCCTGCCTCTTGCCTGTCCTCCTTACTCTCCTCCTTTATGAGGCTGTGTACACCAGAGGGCCTGGTAAAACCAACCTCACAGGTCGCATATTTTTTAGACATTTGTAGGTGTTACTGATCCCAAAAGACATATCTATTTGTATTTTCTAAAATGTTTTGGTCTTCCTTTCTCAATATTTGTTCTTATATCTACTTTCTTGGATTGCATGTGGTCCTTTTTATATCCTGCTTACCTTTTAATGGTTCACTTATTTTCTTTCTCTCTCTCTCATTTTATTTTTTTTTCTTGGAACATATATTTAGTGTTTGAACTTTAATTCTGATAATTGCAATTTGCAAAATTACAAACAAAATTCTGTGCATAATCTTGTTGGTGTTTTTTAGTCTTGTCACCCTCATCTTTTATTGTTTTCTGATTTTGTTTTACTTGTCTTTCCCAATAAATCTCTTTTTCTTGTTTGTTGTTTTTTTTTCCTTGTTTTTTTTTTTTTTTTTTTTTTTTCCCTTTTTGTTTTCTTTTTTCCATATGTAGCCTATTGTGTATTCATCTGGATCTGTATTTGTCCATAAGGCTGAAGACTCTCTGCTTATTTGCCACAGTGGCAAGACTCTCTGCTTATTTGCCACAGCCAGTTTTCCCTGTATCCTTTCAGCAACATGGTACATTCCTTCTTGTCGTAGTTTCTAGTATCAATCATTTTGAGTAGTGCTTTTTATTCTGTGTCAGTTAAGTATTTAGTAATGAGAGAGAGACAGATTTGGAGATCTTGTGTCTCCATCTTGTTCATATTTACCTCCTTTTCAATTTTTTAAGTTCAAAAATTACCTCCTGCATCTTACTGCTGTACATTTTTTTTCTCCTTTCTCCTGTGATATCTATAGTTGATTTTCATTGTCATACAGTAATCTATATTCTTTAGAATGCATAATGAGTTACCTCTGGGTGATGCTCCTGGTATTTTATAAAACCTTCACTTTCTGCATCCACTATGAAAACAGGTTCAGAATATTCTCTAGTAATAATATTTGACACACAGCTACAGTTTAAAGAGTTGTTTTAAGATGATAATAACTCCAGACTATTAAAATACTGCTGCTTCTTATTTAAAGTGCAGGAATGATATTCGTTTTTTAAAACATCCCCTTTCAACTCTCTTAATCTCACTTCTTTATCATCCAGCTTTACAACTTCACCCTTCCTAGTTGCTTAAAAATCTACAGAGACAATGGAAAGAACGGTAAGCTTGTAATGCAGGATCCATGCTCCTGCTCAAGATGTTTGTTGACACGCTGGGAGAAGTGCAGACTGCTCTGGATGACACAAAAGGGAAAGTAGGGCAGAGACAGAGCTGGCCAGCTCCAGTGGCTACAGACCATATTCTGATTAGGGGAGCAATAGGGCTCTCTGTTTAGCCTGATGCTATTACTCACCCCTGGGACACGCACATTGCATTATAACAAAACAGTCTACTTGCATAAATCATTAGTCAGTGTTTCTAAACTGCTTTGATATCCTTTGTTCCTTAGAAGCCTGAGAAAATCTGTAGTAATCACTTTTTTTTTTTCTTTTTTTTCCCACGGGAACCCCCATAAGACATTTTAGAATTGGAAGAACATTTAAATAACAATGTTTTTATACAGAAAGTAAGGCTAGCTAGTGAAGAGAGGAAATGGAGGTCTTGGATGTGGGGAGGGCTTGTTGCCCAGAGAGAGTAATAAGGCACAACTTGCTCTGACTTGTAAACATCATGGTAAACTATAAATGTGGGCAAGGAAGTCATCCTTAAAGAGTGGGTAAAATGTAGACTGCAGTTCACTTTCTATGCCTGAAGAGAGACTTTTGTCTTCCCCTGCAATAAATGCAAGGCAGGGCTTATTGGAAAACACTGATTTTTAGCCAGCAGTTGTTTCTACTTTCTTCCCCAGCCACAAGTCTTACCAAATTCCAAGGAGAAAAAAAAAAATAAATCAGAAATCTAATCCATTTTTTTACATGAAGAGAAAAAAAAAAAAAAAAAAAGATGACTCAAGATGTATCAAAACTAGAAATATTCAGCATAGGTACTGCAGGCATTAAGTCCAGATCAGCAGCTCTGGGCATCTTCTCAGTGTTGCCAATTGGAAGAATCCATAGAATATCTTGGACATGGGTAAAAACATTAGAGTTGGAATAGAAAATACAGGCTATCCTCTGTAAAAGCATAGAGGGGAGGGGAAAGATAAACAATCACAAATGTATGTAAAGTTTCTTTCTGCAAAGTATAGATTTAAATACAGATATTTTTTCATCTGATACACACCATGTGTGACATCTGATTGAGATTTTTTTTAATGATGTAAAAGAAAAGCTGTGTTAATGTTGACCCATGACAGCCAGGATTTCCAATGGTGTTCTAATTAAAGTAATGGCATGCACCACCTTGATACCTGTACATAAAAGTGATGTAATTGTGTAACACTGAAGTGTCTAAATCACTAACACATTTTCATACATTAACATGACATTAAATATTAGCTAGGTTGAACACCAATTAAAGTTTGTGAAATCACTACATCGTACTTTTTTTTTTTTTTTCAAGTAGTCCCAGAACATACTTGGTAAGGTTTAATGTCAACATTATCTAACAAAAAACTGCATCTGCTTTTTTGCTTTTCTCCTTGGAGTCGTACCTGTTTTGGTTCATCTTGGGCAGGGGTGGGACTTTACGTACATCTGGCTGGTGATTTCTTTGACTTGCTAACACAAATCACTGTCAGCAGAACAGTGGGCTCCTTTAAAGCTGAATTTCAATGCACATTTAAACTCTTGTAGTGAAGCAAAATTATTTTTTTATGTATGATTGAGCTGGCACATTTATAGGTAGATCAAAAGACTGTTCCTCTCTGTGGAAAGCTGTTGGTGAATAACAGTGTGTACTGTAGGATCTCTGTTAATATTCATGATCACTCAAAACTCATCTGAGGTGAACAAGGTCTGTTAAAGTTAGGGATGGAAAACTCAGATTCCTAGGTAGTCCTATGCTAAGCTTCATTCTTCCTGCAACAAGGTTACCAGATAAATTTTGAGGGCTGTTAAGGAAAAATGTGCATGTCAGCCAAAGCTGAGTCTTACAAAATCTTTGAGCAGACCTACTTATGACAAATTCATGAAGGACAAGGTAACATGTAGAGTCAGCTTAATGCACATGGTAATTCCAGTCAGGTCACTGTAATGATAGTAGGAATTACACTAGCCAATTAAGAACTAAGATTAAAGAAATCCATCACATGATATGAGAATTTGAATAAAATTATAACTATGACAACCACAAAAATTTCAACATACAGAACTGTTAAACAATTTCTGTTAGCAGCCAAGCGCCAAATGAGTTTCAAATCCTGAAGTCATGCCAAGAAACTCTATATAAGGTTTAGCCCCTGAGTACGTTCAGGCATTTTTTGTGGCTTATTCACCTCGCTGAGCTTAGTGAGTATGGTTTTTAGATTTCTTGTGTTTTCTATAGGCATACCCGGATTTTGAGCAGCATTAGGTGGTTTATCTCTGTCACTATTCTGTTAGTGAAAGCAAGGGTGAATGCAGGATTAGGGGGAATGGGTGCGAATGCAGAAACTCATTCCTCATAAACAAAATTTGGATATTCTTAGCCAAGAAGGTTAAAAATCACAGATGAAAACAATGTTATTTCAGATCATTATTTTAATATTCTATGAAGTTTAAGATGCATCTAATAAATGATCACTTTTTCGGCTGTGTTCAGTGGCATTCCAGGGGAAACACTCCTATTTTAAGCAAAGCCACATCTTGGGGCTTGCAGTCTGACCTTCATCCTGCAAGATGGCTTCCTATGACCTGTACTCACTGAAAACCAGTGTTGCCATCCCCCAGCCCATCTCTGAGAGCTGCAACGAGCTGTGTGCGCAGCAGTGCCCCGACTCAACAGCCTTCATCCAGCCACCCCCCCCCCATCGTCATCACCTTCCCTGGCCCCATCCTCAGATCCTTCCCCCAGCAATCTGTGGTGGCCTCCTCCAGAGCACCCGCCTTTGGGGGCTCTTCCACCTCTGGGGCATGCATTGGCCTGGGGAGCCTCTGCAGTAGGACTCTATATGACTCTGGGGCACTTTTTGGCTGCAGGTCAGGGAGCTCAGCCCTCTCCACCCTCAGAAACAGGTACTCCAGCCCCTTCTCCTCCCACTTCTACTCCCACTGGTACAGCCAGCTCTTCTAAAGTAGCTGCAGGCCAAGGCAGCAGGAGCATCCCTGTTGATGACGCATTAAACACTACAGATTATCTAAATTCCTTCTGTCTCATTTCTCATTTTATGCTGGTTGAGGATATTTCTCACAGATTAATTTAAAAAATGCAGGATTTTAAACTATATCAATGAAGTTTATGTAGTTTTCCTCCAACTTTCACTGTCTTTGCAGTTTTGATGCACAATGCAATCAGATTTCTGCTCCCCCAGACGCAGTCATGTCTTTGTAACAGTCTTACAGGTTGGGAAGTTCAGCTCTTGGTATCAGGTTTCCATACCCATCACTGAAAGGCAAAATAGCTCACAAAGCTTGCACAAATCCCACTCTTAACGTTGGTGGGCTTTTCCTCTTGTTCCTTTGTCTACTGCTGTCTTACAACAACAAGAACAGTTAACAGGTCTATGAACTCATCTGAGCTTAACACACAATTAATTCACAATATGCATCCTGTCCTTCAAAGGATAATATACCAGGAAAACTTGTAAAAGATGAAATTAATAAAATAAAATAAAATAAAATAAAATAAAATAAAATAAAATAAAATAAAATAAAATAAAATAAAATAAAATAAAATAAAATAAAATAAATATTTCCTGCACAGGAAAAAAAAACAAACCACACACACACACAACAACACCATGATGTGTGTGTGTTTTGTTTCAACATAAAAACACAAATGCAGAAACTGATGTGTAAGCCATTTTAAGGCCACTGAGAGTTCTGCAGAATACCTATTGACTAAAGTCGTGCAAAACAATAATCATTATTATTATTATTAGTAGTAATAATAATAAATTAAATGGACACACCTAAGAATTGCATGAAAGGCTGAACAACAGTTCATTTTTTCACATGACATTTGGGTTCCTGAGGGAACCCAGATACAATGTCACTGTACAAGAGCTAATTTTGCTCCCAGAGGAGTCTGAGGGACAAATGAAAACCAAGGAGTCTCACATGCAACACCACGGGACTTTATTGTGACAGGGAAGCATAGCAGGCAAATACAGAAACTCAAGGTGATCCAAGAGGAAAGGCATGATGCAAGTACTGCGTCGTGGGTACTGGTGCCCTGCTCAGGGCCCCAGGGCCAGTCGAGGTGGCAGGAGGCTGCAGGGGACGCTGAGGAGGCAGCCAGGGCACACTGTGGCACAGGGCAGTGGGACAACGGGCACACAGCAACCTCCAGTCCCCGTGCCCCAGCAGATGATGGGTGCTGCTGGTCCCCAGGGCTCTTGCTCCATGTCCCCATGCCAGGGTCCTTGCTTCAGGGCTGTCGCTGGCTCTGGGCATGGCTGTGGTGGCCTTAGAAAGACCCACAGCTACCACGGCGGGACCTTCTCCACCTGGTACCAGGGAGGCAATAGCCCATGCCACAGGAGGAGGGGCCAGAGCTGTAGGACCTGCCAAAATTGCCGAAGCCACTAGAGCCATACAGCCCCCCGTAGCCCAGGGAGCCCCCATAGCTCAAGTCATCCCCATAACCTAGGCAGCTCCCATAGCCCTGGGAACCGCCGTAGCCCCCCAGGCCAAAGGAGCTCCCATAGCCCTGGGACCCGCCGTAGCCCCCCAGGCCAAAGGAGCCCCTATAGCCCTGGGAGCTGCCATAGCCCCCCAAGCCCAGAGAGCCCCCGTAGCCCTGGACCCCCCCCAGGCCAAAGGAGCCCCCAAAGCCTTGGGACCCTCCAAAACCAAAGGGGCCCCCATAGCCCAGGGAGCCCCCATAGCCCAGGTTGCTTCGGGAGCTGAAGGAGCCTCCCAGAGTGGTCGGGCCCGAGGATCCCACAATGCTCTCCTGAGGAAAAGAGCTGAGCACAGGGCCCGGGACTGTCACCACCGCCGGTGGGGGGATGATCACAGCTCTGGAGGGGGGACACTGCTGCACGCAGGGCTCGTTGTAGCTCTCGGCAATTGGCTGAGGGCAGGTCACCCCGTACGGTCTGTAGGACTCCATGGAGCAAGACATCCTTCTTGTGATGGTTGTGAGTCTGCAGTGCACAGTAGAAAGCAGGTTTAAGGTAAATGGACAAGCCTTAGAGCTGCACTATGAGGAGATGAACCAAGATTTCTAATTGTTGGATGCATTTCTGAATCAGCAGAAGTTAAGAGTGAATGTACATATATAACAAATGAAACTCTTTCTTGTATCAACTGCCTTTATTTTATCTTTAACCTTTAATCTTATCATGACCAGCTTTGTTAAAAATCTGATGTGAAACAGAAATTATGTTCTGGAGAAATTACTAGTGCCAGACTGCAGTTACTCAGTGATCTGTCTCCAGCATTTTGTACTGCTGAGGAAGCGCTCTCAAGGTATAAGAACCAGAGAAAAAGAAGTCAGTATGAATAGGCGAAAAATCTCATTGCCTTATGTGTTAATTCAGGCTTCCTAAGACACTTCAAGTATTTGTATTTTTCTAGTTTGAAGATTTACTTCCTCTCCTAATGCAGTGACTCCTGATGTTCTCTCTGGACAGATTCATTTTCAGCATGAAACAAAGGGCATAAGTCTGTGATCACAAATGCAGGAATCATCTCCATTGCGAAAGCATTGTAAAAATAAAAAGTAATGGTAGTAGAAAGACTAAGTGGAAACCATGCTTACCTTGTTTGCTGCAGAGACTGAGGCAAGAGAAGTGGATAGAAGGGCTGCAGGTAACATGAGCTTTTATATGCTTCTTCAGCTGGTGTCTTTAAGCCATCATTTGTGCCTCTGGTCCTAATTTGTTACAAAACAAACATGATAGTGGGAGCTTTCATATTGCCTTGTCAGCACTGTCCCTCCCAAGAGTTACTATGGGTGTGATACAATGCTGATGACAATCAGTTATCTGTGATTTTCATTTTAGAGGATTTATGAAACTTGCATCCAAAGGGTGGCATCCTGTACAGTCATTGACTGAAAGCCAGAGCAAGAAACACGCGTCATGTTAGTCCCATTTTAATGTTTGGAATAGTACCTGCATGGCATGGGGCCCTTTCTGTGCCATGTGCAAGAACTAGGTGAAGGTCATCCAATGTGAGCTAGACATTCAGCTCTGAGAAGACACAAGTTCTCCTCACACAGAATCATGGAAGGATTCAGTTTGGAATGGACCTCTGGAGGTCATCTGTTCCACGCCCCGGGCTCAAGTGTTTCCAGATGTTCAGGTGGAGCCTTCTGTGTCCCAGTTTGTGCCCATTTCCTCTTGTCCTCTTCTTGCAGTTTGTTGGGGATCTGTAAACATTCTGACAGATCAGGGCAAAGGGCTGATGTTTTGCAGGCTCACTCCTGATGGAATAGGTATTGTGGTCAGACACCACCTTGGTGTCTTTTGGTTGGGTACTGACAGGGTGGTCAGGCACTGGAACAGGCTCCCCAGGGCAGTGTTCATAGCAACAAGCCCGCTGGAGTTTAAGAAGTATTTGAACACTGCTCTCAGACGTAGGATTGGATTCTTTGGTGGTCCTGTATGGAGCCAGAAGTTTGACTTGATATGGGCCATTGTGGGTCCCTTTCAACTTGGGAGATTCTGTGATTCTATGATTTGTATTGCTAGTAACGACAAGAGAGCAATAGGACATGACAAAGTTTCTAGCTTGTTTTAAGCTTTTTGTTTTCTCTGTAACTAATTCAGGCAGGGAGATCTGTGTCTGATTTAATGCATTTCCAGTGACATACGGGAATGATACAGTCTCGTTGTTGCTATAAATATTAACTAAAACCCAGTGGAGCTGGCATTCATCTATTGAAAACTCTTCCAACATCATTCACTCAATTCTGCTGAGACAATTCAGATGACACCCGGTTAAAAGAGGAGTGGCTAATCTGAGAATGGCTGCTCTAGAGAAGCAGAAAAGGCCTTTTTGATGCCATCAGAACTGTTAATGGGGTCTCTGTCTAAAGCTTATAACCACTTGAAAATTTAATTTGGAATCTCACCTTATGCAAGTTAGAAATACATTTCAAAACAATCCTTATTTATTTATTTATTTATTTATTTTTAATCCCCATCCCAGAAGTACTGAGCACTTAAGAAAAAATGGGAAATTAAAATATATCCCTTTTAATAGTATTTTATTAATGGGATAATTCTGTGGTATCACACAATTATTTGCGAATCTGTTGTTTTCTAATTTAACAATATTTCAAAAGATAGGCTATAAATGACCTCTAAATTGTTAAATAGATGTACCTTTGAAGTGTCATCAGGATTTGCTGATAATAATGACAGGCACCTAGAAGATAATGACTTTAAGCTGCTTCACAAACACTCATTAATACTTAATGCTTGCAATTTCTGTTATAATCATACTAAATGAAGAAGGGCAGGATTTAGAAGCTCCCTTGTTATGAAACAGCATCATTCAAAAATATGCCAACCAACGTCACTCATTTTGCTTCCATAATCAGGCAGTGATTTTTAAATTTGACACTTGCAACGATTTAATTTTCATTCATAATGTCAAGCTCTTTATTCTATTAGATATTAACAAGTTTGGGGAGATTACGATGTCCATGCTACAGATGCAAATAGTAGCTTCATCTCCTTTTATGAGCCTGTATTTTGGTAATATGCCTGAAATGTCTAATATCTTAAATTCTAAGGAAAAAATAAGAGCCCCCTTAAAGGTTGCCTGAATTTTCAGACTGAACAAGTTATTCTCCCATGTTCTGAAAAACAAAGGGTCTCAAACTGATGTCCTAAATTCTCTGCTCTCTTAGTCTCCAGATCTCATGCTGTCACCCCTACATGACCCCCTCTCTTATACATGAAGCCATACATTATGACACAAGCACTTCGTCCACACACCTCTAAATTGATGCTCTTGCACAAGATTTGCATGCTGATGGTAGCACGTCTGTGTAGAACAATCCTACAACAATCGAATATGAATTTTTAGTAGGTGTTTGTGAAGCCTCTTATCATTCCTTGGAAGATCTGGAACATCTTCCAAGTGGCGATGCTTTGCCACTCCTTCTATACTTGAATATTTGTTGTTCTTCACTCTAAAGGTCTTGAGAGAGATATACAAAAAAAAAAAAAGTTTGTTCTTTTTGATAATTTTTTTAAACGATCTCTCCTCCAAATTCTCCAAATTTCTGATAGAGGTAGTTGCTATGTAAATTAAAGTAGTTTATTCAATTCATTCACTCCAGTAGCAACAATATTTACCACTGTATCTCTAGATATCTCTTATGGTCTTCCCTGAGTGCATTACACTGCAGGAAATCAACAGAGCTAGTGATTGGTCTACAATGAGATATTCCAGACCATAGACCCAAATTATTCAAAAGACCCATCATTTCCTATCCTATGATGCAAATTCAGATGTCAGATTGGATTTGCCACACTGAGCAGCCCAAATGATGACAGTCATTGTAAGTACACGATCTGAAAAAAAAAAAAAAAAAAAAAAAAAAAAAGTAAAACCTTTATATAGCAAATATTGACTAGTAGCAAACATTATCTGTGGCTTGTTTTTAACCAGTAAGCCACATAGTAGTCATGTTACATAAAACATATATGTGTTATATAAAACTTAAAGTGTACTTAAATAACAGATCCACCAATGCTGGTGTTGGGCATTAGATGACTGCAAGATCCCATCATTCATAAATCCAATGCCCATGACTTGGTACTGGCATTGTATCACACCATTTTTTTCACAGATGGGAGTGGCAGTGCAAAGCAAGCAAAAATAAATCCCTCAATATCAAGGTTGTTTCGTTACTATGTAAGACCTAAGGCACAAAGGGTGTATCATATCCTGTAAGCAGTCTGAGAAACGTATAAAAGCTCTCCATACTCCAAGCCTCACTATCCACTTCTCCTGGCATATTCTCCTTGGTGAACAGGGTAAGTCCTATTTGGCTCAACCTCTGTCCTTCTATAACTTTTTTCAATCAATGCTACATCATATGTGATGCTATGGAATGGCAGGCTTGGAGAACTGCAAGTGTTGGAAGGTCTCCTTACAACAAAATGGGCAATTTTATAATGTCATTTTCACTATCCATTTCCCAGGCATTTTAGTTCCAATTCAGGAGCTACATGCACTAGGAAACTTTAAAGTATCACAGGGAGCATAATAAATACATCTTGTGGTAGCATTTGCCCCATAAGAACAAATGTTTCCACTTAGAAGTTGGGTGCTACTAGAGAAGCAATATGAACCTAGAGAAATGACTGGCTATAACTGACACTTCCTCTCTTAACCTACTGTAAATATACTAGCAAATTTTAGTCTGTTTAAGCTGTGCTTATAAATTAGATTCGTTAGATTCCTCATAGTGCAGCTCTAAGGCTTGTCCATTTACCTTAAACCTGCTTTCTACTGTGCACTGCAGACTCACAACCATCACAAGAAGGATGTCTTGCTCCATGGAGTCCTACAGACCGTACGGGGTGACCTGCCCTCAGCCAATTGCCGAGAGCTACAACGAGCCCTGCGTGCAGCAGTGTCCCCCCTCCAGAGCTGTGATCATCCCCCCACCGGCGGTGGTGACAGTCCCGGGCCCTGTGCTCAGCTCTTTTCCTCAGGAGAGCATTGTGGGATCCTCGGGCCCGACCACTCTGGGAGGCTCCTTCAGCTCCCGAAGCAACCTGGGCTATGGGGGCTCCCTGGGCTATGGGGGCCCCTTTGGTTTTGGAGGGTCCCAAGGCTTTGGGGGCTCCTTTGGCCTGGGGGGGGTCCAGGGCTACGGGGGCTCTCTGGGCTTGGGGGGCTATGGCAGCTCCCAGGGCTATAGGGGCTCCTTTGGCCTGGGGGGCTACGGCGGGTCCCAGGGCTATGGGAGCTCCTTTGGCCTGGGGGGCTACGGCGGTTCCCAGGGCTATGGGAGCTGCCTAGGTTATGGGGATGACTTGAGCTATGGGGGCTCCCTGGGCTACGGGGGGCTGTATGGCTCTAGTGGCTTCGGCAATTTTGGCAGGTCCTACAGCTCTGGCCCCTCCTCCTGTGGCATGGGCTATTGCCTCCCTG